GATCCAGGCCACATGTGCCTAAAACTCCAGCTTACAGTGGGGGAAACAATGAAATAACTGATCCCCTGCTGGTTTAGTTTATTCGCTTACAAAGAAACAAACAGTCTCTAATTTTTGGATCGAGACAGAACATCAACACATTTTTAAAAAAAAGGTAGAATTGATTTACACATCACTGAGTGAAATAAGTGTCAAATAATTACTTCCCCTGCTGTATGTGCACTGTGAGCAGTCTTTAAAAAAAAGTCTAAATCAGGTGTGTAATAAATGTAGCATTTTTGAACATTTAGGAGGCTGCTCATCACATGCTTGTTTTCTGCTTTTTTCAGTAACCCTGTTAAGTCAAGATGCTATGAGCTGTGGGCAAAGTCAGCAAAAATGCAGACTTATTGAAAGTGTGCATAAAGGGCACAGAACGTCTGCCGAAAAGCTCTCATAAACTTGTCAGTGGGACTGGGCCCTGCTACTACTACGACTGATACCTCAGCTCTGTTTTTGGTTATGCTTCACCTTTTTCAGTTAAGTTTCACAGCAGCCTAAATCAAATTAGCATGCATTCCGTAAACTGCACTGCATTTTGGTGCAGTTATGTTGCTCGTTTCACTTTAAAGTCTTTTAATTTTTTTTGTGAAGTACCTCAAATAGCACTAAAATGTGCCGTACATGAAGTTGTATTTAAACATAAACAGTGGACACTTTCAGCTCCGATTCAGGGCGATTAAAACAAATTCTTTGAAAACTATTGTTATTTTTGTACTCATCACACCATTTTCAGAGACTCAAAAGTAATTGGACAATTAGCAAAGCAGCAGATTTCAGTGGATGTGAGGTCTTTAAGAGCTTCCAAATGAACAATCTGCTCAAACCACTTGTTACACTCAAGAACAATAAGAACAGATTAGACATCTGAAAAACTTGCCCAGCCATAGAAAAAAATTCTTTGGAGAGATGAAACCAGGAGAAGAAAAAGAACAGTTCATGATCCAGAACATACCACATCACATATGGCTGCCAGTTTAAACGGTGGTTAATATCGATGTGACTGTTGATAGAGTTCACTTCACAGTGCAAATGGGTAACGAGCACGCTTTTCAGTTATTAAATACAAAACTGAAGGCAAAGACCTACAAATAACCAGCAGCAGAAGGTGTGGCAGTAGAGACCTAACAGAGCATCTCCAGGGAGATGTCATATCCGTGTGCTCTACACTTCAGGCAGACATGAGCTGCAAAGGCTTTTCAGAAAGGTATTTTTTTTTTAAATCCTTATACTTTAAATTATATTAGTGTCAAATTATATTTGAGTCTCTGAAAAAAGGGAGGACTGGGTATAAAATGCTTTGTAATTCATAAACAGTTAATGTAAAAGCCTTAAATAAAGTCTGCACTTTAATCACATCACACACACAAAAAAACAATAAAAGGCAACGGTGGTAATGAATACTTAGGAATGAATAGTGCTGCTATTACAAACACAACTGAAGATGCTCCGCCTCTATGATGAGTTCCCTCAAATGATTAAAATAATATATATAAAATACATACAAAACAGTGCATTAGTCATGAATAATAATAGTAATTAACCTGATACTTCAACAGTTCACTAATGCAGGTGTACAAAAGTACATACAGTCTCAAATATTACACAAATAACAGAAAAGGATGAGTCATGATTTATTTTTTATGATTATAATTATTGCATTTTTAATTAGAAATATTGTTCGTATTTAATGTCTGTGGATTTTTATTACTTTTGGCTTCATTCATGCAGGCATGTACTCTTGAATCCACATTTATAACATAACGCAGCGTTTCATCTGTAAGCTGTGCAGTGATGCGTGTAAGGCAATCAGCAGCCTGTAAGCTGATTTTATACAGCAGTGAGGTGTTGTTTTAAGTGACTGTCCGATGTAAAACGTGTCCAGTGCCTGTCTTAAACAGAGACATTGTCTTTGACTCTGCTCCCCGCAGTATCGAGCTTGGTGGAAGGAGCTGTACGGGAAGAGCACGTTCAGTGATGATGAGGAGATCGAGGCCCTTTTAAACCGGAAATCCAGCACCAGCGATGCCATAACAACCAGCATCACTCCCGCGCTGGCCACGAGCAGCAAATAAAGAAACTCATTTCTGCATCTTCAGTCATTTCTCACCTGAACTTAAGAAGCAGAGGACAGCGGGCTTCTGATTGGCCCTTTAATCCCACAGAGACCGGGTGCACATTTTAAAATCATTTTGCCCCCGACCTCGCACTGCGTCAGCAACACCTGTCTCATAAAAAGTTCAGTGTCAGGATGATAAGTTCAGTCTCGTGTGCGTGGAGTGGCTAAGCAGACATGTGACGGGGGGATTTTATGTCACCGTCTTCAGTTCCCTTCGTCATGTCATGTCCTTGCCTCTAACTGTCAAAACAACATGCAAGGGCAGTCAAGCATGACACCAAGGAAATATATGTACATACAGTCCACAGTGTGAACACATACTCCTCCTGTACACCCCCCCACCCCGCCGTCCCCCGTCAGTTATGTTATGCTGTGTCTTGTACTTGAAAAATGACTATTACTTTCTGAGACCGTGTGAGAGCTAAAGAACGCTTTATTTTATATTTTACAGTAAAAAAAAAAAAAAATCAGATGTGCTGTTTTTAACTATTGTGCTGTTCTTCCTAAATGTAAACTTTTCATTTGATGTTATTTGTGCAGTTTAATATGTGCACAGTCTGTGGAAATGCAGTTATATATGTAGAGTTTTTATGTTAACGTTTTCATGTTAGTTTGCATTTCGTCTTTTGTTTAATTATGCATGCATTGAGATGACATTTAACTCATCAAGTGAAAATATTTAGATTGTAATAATGCAACAAAGGAATGTATTAATCTTCTTTTTTTTTAAAGTTATTTCAAGCCTTTTCGAAACAAAACGAGGGACTAAAATCCATCTTTGACCTGGTTTCTGGATAAAAGCAGTATTCAGATCCAGGTAAAGGTCATAAATGACTTAAGTAGAAGTTTATCGCACATATTGTGGAGAACAGTATCTCTGCCGACGATGAAATTCTGACATTATTATGACCCCACAGTAATTGAATTAGTTTTGACTTCTTCATATAGTGGTCTACATTGTAGCAGTCAGCTCAAAGGTCACCAGATAACTGGTGGTGAGAAAATTCTGCGTCACAGGTCTTTGCCCTTTAAAATATTGCACAATTCTACCTCTTCAGGCCTCTTTCAGTTATTTAAATGACACCAGCTGAAAAGTGGAAACCACTCCTCAGAGGAACTCAGAACTACAATAACCAAGGGGCCCAGAGCTTTTAGTGGGGCCCAGAGCTAGAACGTGTTCGTGAATCCTCCCCAAGTGGCTTAACACATAACAGTGCATGGTCACTTTTATATGCTCGTTTTTGAATTATTTAAAATCTCAACATGAGAAGTTGTTCAGCTACAGCTGTCGGCTGAATATTGTTGGTTTAAAAGTGCCATGTGTGAAATGTAGAGCAGCACTGAGATTACGTGTGATGAAGTGCATCATACATCCACATGTGCATTTTTCACACAGTTGTCATTTTAAAGATGAACACTACAGAGAAAAAAAAAAACACGACTGATTTCTGTAACCTGGCAACCGGTTACAGATTAGGATCAACTATGGTATAACGCTGATGGGAAGCATTTGCATAATGAGTTCCTTTCAGTTCTCGTGCTGATAAGTAGGTAAAGCTTCAAATAAGTACTTGTACCTATCTAATATCACTTCATAATTCTACTTTCAAAGTTTTATATTTCTACTTCACGACATTAGAACAAAATTGTACTTACTTTTCTGAATTAGAGAGAGAGATTAAGAGTAGGAGAGCATTAAAGACATCGATCTGAGATGAGCTTAAGCTCTACAATGTACATTATAATGTCGCTTCATGCATCAGTACTGATGGTAAATTCATATATTAATAATAGGCGTGTACAGGTATCAGACTGATATCGGTATCCTGGTTAACGGCCATTATCAGAGGCTGACATTTATCTGTTCCATCACATACATGTCCCAAGAGTCAAATGTTCAAAACATACAAAAATAAAATCTATTCATAAATATTTAATATGTTCATAAGAATAATTAAAAAAACATATAAAAAGTTAAAAATATCCACAAATTTTAAGGATAACTACAGGTTATCAGCCCAGAAATTCACAGTTTGTGTATTCCTGATTAATGCTGACAGCATAAGACTGACAGGAACCAGTCTGCTGCATAATGACTAATGACTCTCTAGGCACGTTTCTCTCTCATATTTCATATAAAATACAAACTGAGTACCTTAAACAGTTGTAGGTTACGCAACACATCAGTATTTGTACTTATCCCAGAAAAACTGAAAGCAAATAAGGGGGGAAAGTTGTTAGTTTGTAACTAACACACTTTTAGATCTGTCTTATACTCACATCACTGCGTTCACTTAAGTAATGAAAGCAGTGATGGATATTTATTGCAGCACTGCAAAACTGCCACAGGAGCCAGACTCACTTTGAAAATCATACTGAGGGGAAATGAGTGGGAACTTTTCAAAACCATGTTTTCTCGGACTCCTGGACCGCATTGCTTTTACAGAATTGATCATCTGTCGAATTCTCCTAACAGGCCTCCTAAAGCTCTGACACGGCAAATGATAATCTTATGTGGTATTGTGTTCCTGTCTGAGGCGTTATGTCAGCTGTTCTGAATAATCTTCCAGTGGGAAAACTGCTGCCGATGTTTTTCTGCGTCGCTTCTACCTCTGGACCACTCTAGAGTACTTTTCGTAAAGCTTTATAATTTCAAAGAATTGTTTTCGTCTCCATCCTATCATTTTCCACGTGTGCGGGTGTGTGACACTTCGGGTTGACGCCGGCAGGGTTTCCCCAGTGTATTACTGTAGATCGGCCGCTGTGTGCGCGCTGATAAGCTTCGCAGGAGGGAAGCAGGCGGGCCTAGCAGAAGCAGCAGGTGCACCCTCCTCAGCATCCCGGCTCCGCCCTCCCTCTGCTCACCACAGGCTGGGTGGATTTAAGCGGGCCCGCCGGAATGATGAGGACTTTCTGACCCTGACTGATATCAAAACTCGACGGCTTTCAAGTTTCACAGGTAAGACGGCTTCGATCAGCCTGCGAAGCGCACAGTGAAGTTAGTCTGCGTGGGAGCGCAGTGGGTTAACCTTTAGTAGTTTTACTTAACTTAATCATTCTTTACTAAACCTACACAAGCCTACTTTCAAAACACACACAAACACGAGAGCGTGTGATATTACTACGTTACAGGAGCAGACAGTGGAGTTGTCCCGTGCGTCTTTTTGGTCAGAGATGAACCCCGACGTGGATTACGGAGGCTCCGGGAGCAGCGGCAACGGCAAGCTGCGCCAGTGGCTCATCGAGCAGGTGGACTGCGGGAAATATCCCGGTCTGGTTTGGGAGAACGACGAGAAGACCATCTTCAGGATACCGTGGAAACACGCCGGGAAACAGGACTACAACCGGGATGAGGATGCCGCGCTTTTTAAGGTAAGAGACCCGCATCCTCCGGGGTCCGCCAGCCACAAGCGAGCTGCGCCTTTCAGAATAAAACAACAGCAATATGTGTTAAAGTATTACAAACTTTAGAGCTGTTAAACTCTCTTATAGCCTTTTAATGATGTTTGTAAAAATAACTAACTCGATTAGGCGTCTTAGTAGCGTTTGAATATTCTCTGATGCATTATATAAAAAAGGGTTTTGCTGTCTTTCATGAAATTCGCTCCATACATTAGGATGCGATTATTTCCATATAAGAATATTTGAACCATGCTGTAAAAAAGTCACACATTACTGGGAGAGCGACGCAAAACAACTTCTTTGAAATGACTGTGGCTCCAAAGAAGCCACTTAACGAAAATAAACGAAACTTTTATTTTATAATTATTGGTGAAGAGTTAGTAACTAGTTATCAGCACCGGGAGGATGTTCTTCTACAGGCCGTGCAGTCGCAGTTAGGAGAGGCCAGGCTGTGTGATTCTCTCGCGCTAAACTTGAGGGAGGTATTCTAAACATTTCCCCGCGGACCTGTCTGCAGGCCTGGGCGCTGTTCAAAGGCAAGTTTCGGGAGGGCATCGACAAACCCGACCCGCCGACATGGAAGACACGCCTGCGCTGCGCCCTCAACAAGAGCAATGACTTTGAGGAACTGGTGGACAGGAGCCAGCTGGACATCTCGGACCCCTACAAAGTTTACCGCATCATCCCCGAGGGCGCCAAGAAAAGTCAGTCCCCCTTCGAACAAAGCGTTGAAAAAAGTTAACTGCAGCATGAATTAAGCTGGTAGTAATACTGAAAGCTGATTGGGCTACAGCGGCAATAACCAAACTGGATAAAGGGTTTTACTGATGTGTTTTATTGTAGTTATTATTATTAGATGATCACAATCTGATAATTAGTTGTGTATCAGACATAAAGTGGAAATTCTCTGACTCCTCAAACTGTCAAAGCACCAGCTCAAGTCATGCTGAAGTACTTGCATCGATGTGGACTTTTCTAAAAGTACTGACAGAAAATGTGTTCAGACATTTTCTAGAGCGCTTTTCTAATAAAAATGTTCTTTCCCGCATGCAGGACCCAGACAGGAGGACAGTCCTCTGAGCCCAGGGAGCTTTCAGATGCATCCCTCCTACCCCTCTGTGCCAACTCAGGTGATTTTCCTGCACATAGAAACAAGTGGGGCGGGACTAAAGTAAGACAGAGAGAATGAGGGAGGTTGAAGACACAGACAGTGTCATATTGTGCATGCATGGATGACCTTACAAACACAAGTGAAGGGTAATGATGTGCATCCCCAACTATGACTTGTGCTGACTTCAGGGGCTGATAGAAACTCTGGAGTTTTTGGGTCCTTTTTAGATTTCTTGGCAGCAACTGATTAAAAAAAGCACACAATTTATGGCAAAATATGTTTTTGCCACACTGTAAATGCTAATTCTCATTTACTAATTTAAATGTTGTTGCATTTAACTTTATCTATCCTAGTTTATTTAAAGTTATCTGTACTTCCTGCCTGGGTAATGAAGAGTATAGTTATGCTCTGCTTTACTTAATAATTTACATTTGTTTTCATAAAGTATGGAACACGTCTTTAGTACTTTAGTAATGTGATGTCTATTTCTTAGATCTCAGTTTCTCGGACATGGTGTAGTTTCAGATGTTACTCACCATAATTGATTTTTCTGCACTGATTAATCTGTGTGACCTATCCTTTTAAAGTACTACACACTCAAAATGAACAAATCAGCTTTCTCCTCTCAAGTTCATTTAAGTTATTTTTGTGAGTCAGCGAGTTGGCGTTATCTTTTCATGCAAAAACAAATCACAGTTTATGGTGCAAGGATTTTATCACTAGCTTAAGCAAAAATCTATGGATGAAGAAAGAATTCTGCAATGGTCATATAAAACAAGTTGCAAAAAAGTCCTTATAAGCCTACTAAAGAGTAATGTATTACAAAAGCATCATGCAAAGACTGTTTGTTGGTATCTTATGATCAAAGATGTGCACTCAGCTAACTGCTTTCCTCTCTATAGATGCCACAGTACATGGCGAGTCCAGAATGCGGCTGGAGAGATTACTGTCAGGAGCAGGCCTCTCTGCCCGAGCTGCCCTTCACTCAGTGTCCCTGTCCGCCCCGCACCCTGCCGTGGCAGGGCTCATCCATGGAAAATGGTACACGGCTTATTATTTAGCGTGCAAAATAAAAGCATTGTTATCAGTTTTAGCATTGCCTACATAGTTTGTTCTGTGTGCAGGATACCAGCTAAGAGCCTCAATTTACTCATACGGTCCAGCTGAGAGTCAGCCCTCGCCTTTCACACTGGACGCCAGCATCAGATCAGCAGAGGCACTTTCAGGTACACGAATACTTTCAGTTCACTTTTTCCCCTCACGCTATAAAATCAGGAACTCTCACCAGAATCCTCTGCTGAGAATTAAACTTAAGGTCCTATTTTTTTAAAAAAAAGCAAAAATCCATCTACATAGAACAAGCAGCAAATGCATATTTACATAAGCTCAAAACAGCTGAAAATGTCACGGTATGACACAGATTTGAGCATTTAAAGGTACAATTAGGTTGAAACTGCGTAATGCTGTGCAGAAGTCAGAAAACTACTAATTTCACCTGAGACTTTGTTCCTTGGCTTTATTCAGTGCAGTTTAATTTCAGTTCTTGCATTTAGTGTATGGATCTGTATCATGCTGCAGGCTGCCATTTTTATTAACTGTACTCTGACTGTCCATAACAAACAGCAGACAGAAAATCAGCACCAAATTTAATAATAAAGTTAAATATCTAGCAACTACAGAGCCGCTATCAGTGGAATTTCATGAGGTGGCTATAATCTAAAATGTATTTATTTTTAGGTAAAGCTGGTAGCTTGATTCAATAGACATGCGGCTAATTTTGAATATTTACTCTGCCCCCTAGAGGCCGGTAAAAAAGGAACGCAACTTTAATCAAAGCTGACGACCGAGCGTGTTCAAACTAGCTTCGTTTTTTGGTCTAGTTTTAGTGACATGTGAAGGAATTTTGCATCTGATGCAAATCATTCTTGCTTGTGCTTATTTTGATCATATAAACAATACACAGAAAACCATTTCCAAAAAAAATGCAGATTGCTGTCAGATTCAGCAGAACGCTCCTATAGAAGTACAAGACATAGCAGCATGTAGAACGCTGAAATAATAATATACAGCAGCACCCTGTGACTTTGGGCTGTGGTGAACATTGAAAACCTTATGTGCTTCATTTTTTTAAAATAAAACAAAGGCAGTCCATAAAAGAGTTTAAAAAAAAAGAAATTTCAGCTAACTTCTACCTGTGTCCTCCTCTAGACTTCCGTCTGCACGTATCCGTATATTTCCGGGACTCTCTGGTGAGAGAGGTGACCACTTCCAGCCCGGATGGCTGCCATATCACTCCTTGCAACCCAGATAAGCACTACCTGACGCCTGGAGGTCATGAGTTGGTGCCCCTGCCTGTTGACAGCCTATCATCCCAGAGGAGGCCAGACGAGTGTCCTCCGAGTCCACCAGCCAGCCTCGAGAGGGGAGTGTTGCTGTGGATGCGAGCAGATGGGCTCTATGCCCGGAGGCTGTGCCAGAGCAGGGTGTACTGGCAGGGAGGCCCGTCGCCGTACGGAGACAAACCCAACAAGCTGGAGAGAGACGTCACCTGTAAACTGCTCCACACGCAGGACTACCTCACAGGTGAGAGGACACAAACTCAAATCAGCTCAGGATCTTTGATCAACAATCACTTGTGCTCGAAAGACTAAAAAGTTCTCACTTTTTTGGGTTAGTATGTTACTATTCTTTTAAATGAAGGCCTATCTATGGTGCCATGCCTAATTCACCAAGTCCCTGACCTGTATCTTAATCATCAGCATGGTGTACTGGACAGAGCTTGGTTGATATGTTTTAATCTGATTGATTCACTTAAGAACTCACACCAGCTGGCACCTTGCTGTACATAGAAAGACTAACACCAACTGGTCTAAAATTTGGATTTCAGTCAAGAACTATCCACCTCAACTCAAAACTAAATCCACTAAATGTAATTAGCAGTAGAACAAACTGAGACTCATTACTCAGCTGATTTTCTGGAAGTCACTTCATGACATACTGTGCCAGCCAAGAATAATTTCTTAAAGAAGTATTTTATGATAAGCCGAGAGTCACATGAAGTCTACACAGCCACATCATCCCGCCCACATGCTAAGCAGCTCCAGCTGTGACAGCTAATTGTATTTGCATACATGGTGTGACCAGGACTTTCCATTCGAATCACTCTAAATGTCACACCACTTCAAGTGAAATTCGCTTGAAATCATCAATTCTGATGTGTTTTAGGTGTCAGAGCTGTTACTGATGCATTTTTGTCCATTTGCCTACTTGCAGAGATTCAGAGCTACGGGTTAAGGCCGCCGTCCCGCTTCCAGGTCCTCCTGTGTTTCGGAGATGAGTGTCTGGACCCACAGAGACAAAGAAGGACCCTCACTGTGCAGGTGACTGCTGCCCCCGAGTTTAACCACTGATTATGATCCAGAGATCTTTCATTTTTTTCTCATTTTGTTTATGAGGATCAGTGAAGCCTAATATTTACTGGGAAGCTGACAATAAGTTCGAACTGGTGTTCTTAAAATCAAAACTAAGATTTGAAAGGTTCAAAGTAGAGTGCTGAAACTTTAAAGTATGGGCTGAAAAGTGAAAAATAGGATTTGAAAGTTTAAACCTAAGATTTGAAAGTCTGTAGGACCTTGTTCATAGTCATAGCGTTGACAGTGTTTCATAACAAAATTTGGTTTCTAAATAAGTCGCACTGAGATTCAGGGCCAGCCTGGTTCCACTGTCACCCTCCCGAGACTCTGATTTCTATATAAAGTGAAAATGGATGAGCCAAGTGAAGGTTCGTGCCTTTTAGCTACAGATTTTTGACACACTTTCAATCAAACTAACCACGTAGCTGAGCTTTAACCAAACTAGGAATGGTTTGCCCTTCTCTAGTTTGACTTCTCAAAATGGTTTCATAAAACAAAGCTGGGAAAGTTGAAATAGCGAATCAACCTTCCTGGATCTCTGTCAACAGTCAAACGCCCATAAATAATAAACTATCAAAAACCAAACAGCTTGGGAGTGTGTCACAGAACTGCAACAGAAGGCTTCAAAATATCCCAAACTCTAACATCCTAAATCAGGGGTGTCCAACTCTAGGCCTTAAGGGCCGGTGTCCTGCAGGTTTTAGATATCACCCTGGGTCAACACACCTGAATCAAATGATTAGTTCATTACCAGGCCTCTGGAGACCTTCAAGACATATTGAGCAGGCCATTGAGCCATTTATATCAGCTGTGTTGGATCAAACCTGCAGAACACCGGCCCCTGAGGCCTGGAGTTTCCCACCCCTGCCCTAAATGAAAAATGAAAGGGTGTATTGAATTTTTTCTTCTTTTAATTGAGTTTGGCAAAAATACCAACTACTTTTTCGCTTTTTTTTTTTGGTAAAAATAAATAAATAAATAAATAGTGCTATGCTGAATGGATTTTGCTGACCTCCTTGGCTCTCATGTGTTGCAGGTAGAGCCTCTGTTCACCAGGCAGCTCCTGTACTATGCCCAGCAGCCGGGCAGCCACTACTACCGCAGCTATGAGCATCCAGGAGTCACAGAGCACATAAATGCCTCCGAGGACTACCAGAGGGCCATCACACATCACCACAGCAGCAGCCTGCAGGAGTGAACTTTGCGGGTTTAAGTGACTGTTGGAAATGTCACGATGACATTTTACACGACAGGCAAGAAAACTCTGAGATGTGGACAAAGTGGACAGTGGTATACAAAAAATGATGGACATTAAGTCAGCAACCATCTGCCCTGTATGGTTTTTGTATCTGTGTGTGTGTGTGTGTGTGTGTGTGTCTTAAGTCAAAAATGCAGTGTTATTTTTTCCCTTTTTGTATTCTTTTGGGCATAATGAGTATTTTGATGCTTACTCATAGACAGTATTAAAAATGAAGGTGTTAAAGTATTAAAGATGATTGAGATGTCATCCACCGGTTTTTAAAGTTCCATTTTGAAGCCTCACGATGAACATTTTCATTATCGCTAGTTTGGTTTGCTAACGACTTGTCACTTATAAGCTGTTAGCCAATGAGCATACCATTTTAAACCTAGTGATTTCTAAAAAATTTCATGTTTTTTATTCAATGTGAACCAAAATAAGTGACTAGGACCATAAACACATCAGGAAAGTGTTTCCAGAGGTCAAGACAGAAAGCAATTTTCCCAAAGACTTTGATATAATAGGAAGTCTTTTTGCAGTCGCAAGTATTGCCATCTGGTACCTTTCAGATAGAATGCAAGTTTAAGGTACTTGGCGCATTAGCTTCATTTTTTCAGACCCAGAGGTCGTATTTTTGTACTGTCTATGTGCTTACTATGCAAATGAAACTGACAGCTGAGGTGATTGTATCATAGAAAACTGTGAGTGAAAGTTTTGTGCCTTAAAAAAAATTAGCAAATGAACCTAATCACTTTCTATGCCAATAGTTATATTAGATCTCTAGCATTCACAAACCACTCCAATCCAGGCAACAACTAGTAGCTGGTTAGCTAAGATTAGCCTAGCTTGGCTTAGTTATAGACTAGGAAAAAAAATAAGAGAAACAGTTTGAAAATTACCAAATGTACCTTCTGTTACTTTCTAATGAAAACCAGTAAACATGTTATTTAGCGCAGAAACTGCAGCTATGTTCAGAGAAGAGCACAACAATTGTAAATCACCTGTAAAACTAACCACACCAATGAGGTGTCTATTTGGAGATTGTGCACATGTGCTATTTTGTCACATTTAGTAAATCTGGCCCATAATTTTCAAAAAATTAAACTCAAGAATCTAATTTTATATCTGGACAAAACTATGGAAGAATTTTCAGACTTTGTGCTAAGGTAATATAAGCTAATATAAGCTAATAACCAAAACCATAGCTAGCCCCTGCTAGCTAAGGAGCTACTGGCTCCAGTTTGATGTTGTTGTTTTTGTATTCAACTGTCTGTTATCATACTTCTTCATTTGACTGTCTGCAAGAAAGTGAAGCAAAAGAGCTTTTGTATTTTTTAGTTAATTTTTAAAAACATTTTTCCTTGTAAATACATTTCTGTTAGGAGACACTATCACCATCATTTAGTAAATTATGAATGGAGTCTTGTGCCTGGCTGTGTTTATGTATGTGTGTGTGTGAGAGAGAGAGAGAGCAACTCAGGGAGCTGATTTTAGATAAGCTTTTTAAACTCAATTTTATATCAAATAGTGATGTTAAATGTGACTGTTATATAGCAGATCTGAGAAAGGGTTAAAGTGAACATTTGTTGTTGTTGTTGTTTTTAAAGTGTCATTTCCTTCAAAAATAAATAAATAAATGACTAAAAACGTAACAAGTGACAAGATCTCTTCATAACTGTGTGAGCTCTATGGTAACATCAGCACTACGCGTGAGCGTCTGAACAGGAAATGTGGTTCAGATGCAGGATGTGACTGGTTAATCAAACACTTGGTTATCACAAACAATATGATGACATCAAGAGGGGCGGAGAGAGAGGAAGAGGTTGGTTTTCCGTGCAGCGCTCGAGAGAGCCTTCCTGGTTTCTGCTCATAGATTACAGTCTGTTTCCACTTTCATGGAAAACAACCATAAAACCCCACAACAACAACATTTCTGTAACTGCCACAAAATATTTTTGAAGAAGAGCAAGGAAGAAAGGAAGATGTCATCAGTTTGAGGTTAAAAACAACTCAGAAAGCTTACTTTGAAAACAAAATGCCTTTTCAGCAGGAAGGGCAGGGTGGGTAATTACACGGCTTTGGACTCAATCTTTTTGATTGCATCTTTTTTTTTCTCCTAAAATCCAAAGATATTATAGTTCAGTTTAATTGATGCAATTTTAACTGATTTCAATATTTTTTAAAAATGTATCAGCAAAAGATGCATCAGTTAATTGCAAAGTCAATGTTGGTTATCTTTCAAATCATTATGGAGGGATTTTGTGAAACTCTTCTTTACTACACATCATCGGGATTTGCGGGCATTTGTTTATGCACAGGTCCCGTCACAGCATTTCAGTCAGGTGGCGGTCTGGCCTTTAAGCCATTGCGACGCCTTGATTTTCTTTTGCAGCTATTCTGTTGTAGATTAACTGGTGTGCTTGAGATCATTGTCCTGTTGCACGATCAACTTTGTCCAAACTCTAGCGGTCAAACATATCTCTGTTTCAGCAAGACCATATATACAACAACTTATATGTATTCTGCACATTTGTTGCAAAAACAGTCCCAACTGCTAAAGTTCCCATCACATTTTACACACCATCCTAACATAGAATCGATGGAGGTTGTAATCAGTGAAAGGTTTTGTGACGGGGCTAAAATATCACATCACATTATATATAAAATTATGTACAGTACATAGGCCAACATCATGATGTCAATCACAATAGCTACAGCATCTTATTACCTGGAACAAAAACAAATCAAAAAGTAGGACATGTCTAAATGCCACGCTTTTCCAGTCTTGTTCCAGTGTTTTTCTGCTTCTTACTAATCTTGGCCACTTCTATAAAATGTTTTCTTCTTTTGAGCTCAGCTGTAAAACATCTGTCTTAAAAACAGGTACAATCGAGGGGACAACTTTTCTGTGATGTGTCAAATTTCTCCATCCTTTTATTTACCCACTCACAGCAAAGAAAACTGCAGATCAAAAATGTTTTTGTTGTTTTTTAAAGCAGGTCTTGTCATATTGTCTCCAGAATGGAACAGAATACTGGTGAATAGAAATAAAAAAGAAAGAGAAAAAACTCCCCTTTCTCACCTCTGTTACTGTAAACAGAGAGCTGGTGGAGAGCGGATAAGGCTTTGGGGTTTTGAACTTATTTTGTGAATGAATCCGTGGGAGGCAGAGTGCTAAGTTTAGAACGCAGAGAATCAAAACAACTCTTGCCTGCTCTCTATGGCTTTCCCCTACTTGTAGATGGGAAACCAAGTCAGAGAAAAAGTCTGAGGTCGATGAACGTAGACAGAAATGCACAGGTGTGGTTTGTACATTCAAAAGCTGAAATTTAATGGGTCATCTCCTGCTAGAAAACACAACAGCAGATCTCGACAGTGTCCTCAGTTAACCCTTTGTGTCTCGTCAAACTTTCTCATGTGAGCTGTGGGCGTGTCTGCCCGGGCGACTAGACCTACCACAACTGCTCGCTTAGGTCCCTACACCCACACAGAACCACACTTTCTGTTGTCGCTCTCTTCCTCTGGGATCTGTGTCTTCTGCTCGCTGCCCCGAGTAACGGCCCACTCCGTCCCCACCCTGCATACACCCTGTGTTCATGCTCCTCCCTGACAGCTAGATGCTGACATGCCAGACAGAATGAGTGAACTGGTGAGCTGCAACTCCAGAGATGAATAGCTAAACCCGCTACTGAGCCATGGTGCAAACAAACCAACTGTCTGCAAGTGTGCCTTCGTTAGAATTTCCACTACTGAGCGTGACATTTGGACTGCAGATAAGTTTAACGACTATAGTCGAACAGTCACCATACATCACGTTTGGACCAAAAATATCAGTCACACCCTTACAATCTCATCTCCAAGCCAACAATTGCTCAGCAAGCTGCTTTTTGCAATCAAGTCCTCCCTTGCAGTGCTTTTAGTTGTTTTACATTGTAGCTGAGAGTATCAATACCGACTGATTCAGAAATACTTGTCTTACAGAAGCATAGTTGTCACAATTTTGTTTCTATACCCAACCACAGTGGATCGAAATGACAAAACCAAGATGTGATTAATGTGCAAACTTTCAGCTTTTACTCAGGGGGTTTTAACAAAAATATTGCATGAACTCTTGAGGTTAAAATCAAGGTTAAGTCCCTTCATTCTCACAGACCTACAATTAAGTGGAAAGATTTTGCACCTTCCAACGCTTGATGTTATCTTTGAAGAACTTCAGTAGAGGTTTATTCTGAATAGAGAACTGTCTATAGAGACACTTTGCAGTAGCCTTCAGAATTGCCTCAATGCTTTATGCCATTGCATGTTATCTTGCTAGAAGAAGACATGGACATGTTAAGCAGCAACATTCAGGCAGACTGTAGCATTTAAGCAATGCTCAGGTAGTACTGAGGGGCTCAGTGTGCACCAAGAAACCGCTGATACAAAATAGAGTAGATCCAAGTTTGATGTTATATAGGACAAATTCTGTGAATGTTGCAGAAGTAATTGAGATGATTTTCTGATCTTCAGTTATCTAATTTTGGTAAACTTCTGCAAACTGTAGCCTTAGTTTCCTGTTGTTAGCCCACAGGTGTGGCATTCAGTTATCTTCACTGCTGTAGCCCATCTGCTTTAAGGTTGAATGTGTTGTGCATTCAGAGATGTGCTTCTTCATTCACTCCTTGGTTGTAATGAGCTCTGACATTGACATTTTCTCTTTTTTAACCATTCCCTCTAAACCCTAGAGATGTTTGAGTGGGGAAATCCTGCACAGCAGATATGGAGATATTGCAGATGTCTGACAACTAACCATGTGATAACTTGCAGACCACTTTTGGACAATCACGGAGACACTGTTGGGTCAAACTAATAAGGTCCCAGTCACAAACGCTTAGAGACTGGTCTTTGATCATTTGGCAACAACCAGTTGGGGTGGTGAGGCAGAGTATTCATTGACTGGTTAGTTGCTAGAGATTGATGGCAGTCTGCGAACTCCCATTTGTTTTCTCTAACAACCCACCTGTTGCAAAGGAAAATGGGTATTTCCTAATCAGTTCATAAAAGACCCCTTGTGATTAGTTAAGTTGCTAGCATATTGCTGCAGCTGTCTTTTAAATGGAAATGATGGACTTGTGACAAACCCTGCCCAGCTGCTCTCTGAGCTGTAGTTAAACTGTGAAAAGTGCAACAAAAACAATAAATAGAGACTGTTTGCCTTCAAAATAAAAGCTGTGCCTTTTTAATTGTGTTGGCAGCAGTGCTGGGGCACAACTTTGAAGGCAAGCAAACTGCCACTCAACTAGTTAGCAAATGTTTGCAGACCAACTACAGACAATCTGCTAGCAATAGCAAACGCTAGGGGTTTTTTAGTGGCGCAGCTTCTTTGCAACCACTTTCACCCAGCAACGTTCAGGAATCACTGCAAACCAGTTGGGGAATACAAACTTATCCTTAGCACCCAGTAGTTGTAACACATCCAATACGGCAGACAAGGCATGGCATTGGTTAAGAAACCTTAAAACATTATATAGTGGCCAGTAAGGGTATTTTACTTTACCTCCTACAAACACAGAACAAAGATTAAATAAAGAAAGAATAATGTTCCTTAGACTATTCTATTTTTAGAAAGAAAAAAAAAGGGCAAAGTTTACAACAGCTTTTATGAAGTCAGTTGTAAAACATGTCTGCATGCTTGGTCACCTTTTAAAGGAACATTTACATGTGAGTTTAGCCTTTTTTGCCACACTTGCTAGTGTCCATGCATCTGTAGAGGTGTAGCTTGCATTTCTGTTCTCATTTTGTCATTACTTAAAACACTAATAAAGACATTGTTGAAAAAAGGAACTGGTCAGTCTGGTCAGACGAATTAAAGACATGAAAGCTCTTGTACATTTTCATGTAAACTTTGCATGAATTTCATGATTTTAGCCCTTGCATAAGGTAAGCACGATGTACATAGACATGTATTTCACCAGTTGTTAAAGTTGTTTCCTTTTATACAATGAGTGACATCATTCTGACAATTCAAAATAAATGTTTTATAACTGATTGTCTGTTGTGTCAGACCTAAGTCGCTGTGTACGCAGCTCAACAGTATTTAGTTGCCGTTTATGACAAAACCGAATATACGGCTTAAACGTGAGGTTCTTGTGCTTGTGAAGAAAGGTTTGCAAAATTGCATCAAGACTTGTGGAAAAATGTTGGACAGATGAGACCAAAGTGGTGGTGTTGGGCCATAATGCACAACACCATGTTTAGTGAAAACCAAACACCTCATACCAACTGTCAAATCCGAGTGGTGCAGGGGTGTTGATTTGGATTTGTTTTGCTTTGCAGCCACAGGACCCAGGTACCTTGCAGAAACTGAGTCAAGAACTCTGTGCACAAAAAGTATTCTAAATGACTGAAAAAGGAAAGAATCATGGTGTTACAATGAAACACAAAAGTCCAGACCTCAACCTTACTGTAATGCTTTCACCTTAAGAGTGCTGTGCGTAAACAGATATCAATGAACTGAAGCAATGTTAGGAAGAAGAGTGCAGCAAATTTCCTCCAAAATGATATGAGACACTGATAAAGCTACACAGAAAATATCAAGTTTTTGCTCCTCAAGGTGGTTCTACAACCCACTGAATCGCACTAGCTTGTACGAATATATGTATATGGTGCCACATGCAGGTTCTGTGTTTATACATAGTTAAATAAAGCTGTTTAGTACACCCTCTTTAAAACACATGTTAAATCAAGCATTCGTGTATTACTGGGTTTTTGGCAGGGCAATACAAAAGAATTTACTGCAGTCTTAAAGAAGCATTTTTTTATTAATGTCTCATGAGGTGAGAAAAAAATGAGTTGATGGTAAATTCCAATGATGGTGTTTTATTAGAAGAAAAGCATCAATATAACTGACTCACAGTTACATCAGTGTGGTTTCCACAGATGAAGCTTACTGACAAACATGCTGGATTTCAATGAAATGTGATGGGACAATACGGCTGTGTGAAAAGGATTAAAGCAGTACAGTGCTTTCAAAAAACAAACTATCAACCATGTCTAAAAATCCTGACAGGATCAGGATCTGATCCAGTTCCATGTAGCTCACAGACTGAGATTTTGCAGCTCTAGCTGAAGGCTGATGTTTAGTTAACTTACTGAGCAATACAGGTGGCACAGTACATGAAAACCATCTTGTTGTCATCATCATCATTTAAAAAAATCTTGTTACTTTGACACACATTTCATTCAGAGTCTGCAGCTCCACATCCCACTGACAGACTGTTCCTGAACTTTCTAGAAACAAGCACATTAGCCACTCACTCACTACTTGTCAGTACGTGAGTGGCCGTACATAATTAGCATACCCAACGTAACAGGGACTGTCCTGCACAGTAACAATGAAATCGACTCATTTAGTGTCTTCGAGATTAGATGAATACACACTTGTGTTTAATCGAGTAAAGCAGAAATTGAAAGTGATGAGTAAACAAAAAAGTGATAACTGAAGAGATACAGGCAAAGTTCATTAGCTAATAGATAAGACACAGACTTCTGTTTTGGGTGGTGGAGTGGATGAGATTTATCTCTTGATGGGCTGGACAGAGGAGGCCTGGAAGCACGTGAGCTGGAGCTGCATGCTGCTCTTAAACTTGTTCAGCAGCTCTTCCAGTAACCTGCAGATAATATTAAAATTAAAGATAAATCTCAAAGACACAAAGGAAACGCCAAAAGGTCACAGTCCCTCCAATTAGTAACATATACCGGAATCAGACTCACTTCTTATCGGCGCCGCTGTGTAACTGAGGCAGAGACTCCAAAGCCAGTTTGAAGCTGGCGCTGAAAATGAGAAGCTTAGTTAAAAATGTCACATAAAGGAACCCATTTATGAACGATAGAGAACTAGAAAACATAGTTCAAGATGGGTCTGTGTGTGTATGCGGGCACACTAACCTGCCATACATGAACATACACGCGCACCCAAACACACACACACAGGCGCACATCACAGTGCATGCACACAACAGAACCAGATTACTTTCACTTCCTTTCCAAAACCCTCCAACTAACATAAATAGGGATTGTAGTGAGGGATGTGTGACTGCTAAGATTTATGTCCGTGACATCCACAGCCATAAATCACTGGGCACATATGTGGGACTTCCTGTCTCTGCCACTGTGGGGATCTGTATTTGTCGCACTTACTTGCTGTCGGCGTTTAGGTATGTGGCTATAGCATCTCTCAGAGCACACAGTTCAAGTCGAGCCTGTATGGGGGTTTACAGAAAAAGGGCAACAACGGAGATGTAATCATGTAATCATCATCAACTGACACCAGATGGTACCTTGAACTGAAATATGGCTTTATCAAAAATGACAGGTAATTCCCCCCAAGTGCGGTGGTCGACTTATGAGTCAGGGTCCTACTATGAGTGAGAAACTGCTCTGCGACTGCGGGTATGTGCGTGTGAGTGTGTACCTACCTGTAGGGCTCCGTTTTTGCTGAAGGAGGACACACACTGCATAAGACGGCACATTTCATCCGCAACGGACTCAACGATTCTAGACAAAACCCGAGGAACCAGATCCTTCGAGACTGTGAACACCTGACACAGAAAGAAAGAAAAAAAATGTCATGATGGGGGACGAGGTGGCAAAAGCACCTAGTAGAAGCAGTGTCTGACAAATGAGTGATGAGTTTTAAAGGCATTCAAGCACCTCGGCATGAACTGCAATAATATTGACCAGAGCCTCCTTCAGGTAGTTCCTTACACCTGTGAAAGAAGAAAGCACAAAGTGAACAAACAAAGATCCAGATAAAAAGCAAAACATCAGACATGTAACAATTAGCCATGAAAGGAAAGTGAATCTGTTTTGTTTATTTACAGCTTCTTATATCTTATATGTATATTTCATCTTAACTATACATCTTATACTTGGCCACAGTTTCCTCAGTTTAACCCCACTTTTAGCTTTCTCCCCCTCAATTTAAGCCAGCTTTCTTCAGATTGGTTGCCCCTCATAAACAAAAGGTTTAACCAGCAGGTGGGTGGGGCTTCACAGCCACATCTGTGTGCTTGGGATATCTGTTCTCACTGACATCATATAGAGCGACAGTAAAAAAAAGAAAATGTGAGAGAGCGTGTTCAGCAGTGTGAGCCTGAGCATTTGTACATACTGTTGACCTTGTTATTTGAAACTCTGGCCATGTTTAGATGAACATCTGCAATTCTAACACTATATCTCTGGCAGAACAGACTATTGAAAACTCATCTTTCTCTCTTTATTTGAAAATTCAGGGCAGAGTCATTTTCACCAGAACCTGTAGCAGCTCAACAAGACTGCAAAACCATGTTTCTCTAAGATCACAGCCCCATCCACAGCAGAGCCAAGTGGCTGTTTGATTAACAGTCCATCTGGATTTCTGATAGAAATGTGCCAACAGGATTCATTATTAGCCAAGCTAACACTGTGCCAGTGCAACGTTTTCCATTATTTAATTTCCCTCATCTGTGAGGAGGATAAGGGGCAGATGAGTTGGTGTGCTGTGTGGAAGCTTCAAAATATAACATTACGTTGACGGTGAAACAGTCAAAGGCAAAAACAGAAAGAAAGTACTGAAACCGGATTCTTAATGCTTTGCAGCACCCCACACACAAACTTGAATCCCACACAAAAAAATGCACCAAGTGAAAGTATCATATCCTAGAACTGTGGTTTTCTGTCCAAAATGTTCCTCTTTCACATGTAGTCCAAACACACAAACTCACAGGCGACAAACCAGATCAACGCTCACAACTTTTCATCAAGATTAAGCGCCGTGCTATGAACTGCTGCCCACCTGAGACGACTCGCGCAGCTCTCACACAGTCTGACATGTTGCTTCACATCCTGTACTAAGGTAGACCACACATTCACAGTCAAGTTTCACCTGGGTTTGGGGTGCACTGCGTGAGCGAAAAAAGTCAAGCTACAACTCAAGTGTACACACATATCACTGCACACCTACAGCTAGACACAAAGGCCATGAGCGCCTTGGGAAGACTGATTAAATGATGTTAGTGGTGTTTACAGTAAGTCATCAAAGAGCCGTACTTTACACATGACACATGTGAACCACAGCTACAAAGATTAGACACGAGAGACTCTGAGCTGTCATCCCACAGCCCTGCTAGGGGCTTAAATATGATTCTACCAGGGTCAGTTAGTGGTTGCTGACGGTGATTTCCTTCTGTTTTATCAGCGCAGGGTAACTGGGTACCTGTAGGTGTTTGGCAGTCTCTCCAATCAAAATAGCCAGCGTAGATGCCGGGCTCCAGGGAGCCTGCGATCGGATCAGCTCGTCTCTCAATGTAGGCTTCAAAGAGTTTCCGGTCCAGCCCCCGTACTGCGTCCACGCTTACCTGGCAGGTCAAGAACACACGATGTTACTGCAATGATTAGATACTAGGTAACAGATTCTCTATCCCCAATCCACACATCATTAGACATGCACAACACAATAAGAAGAGATCCATATTATAATACACTATTTACTCAGCGTTCTTTGCAATGACGCACTACTTGTTTGGATTTTAATGCAGCATTTTTATCTTAGTTGTACAGATGAGCTGAATCTTTGCTGTGTTAGCTTATTGACATGCCTGTAATTTTAGCTTCAGAGCTGCGAGCAGAGAAACCTGATTCCATCTCTGTGAGCAGGTTCTAACATTAACACTAAAACGTTGATAACGTGAAGATGTCAGTGTCTCCTGTTGCCTTTTACTTTAAGTTACGATGACAATCTTGCCAAGGTTGTCTTGTGATCCGTATGCATCAGTTTAAAAGTGGTCTGAATGCATACAGACGCCTAAAGTTACATGTGCATTAGAAAATTCCCCGTAAACAGAGATAACCAGTGCTTTATAGCATTTTATCTCACAAACCCACACTTCCAGTCTGAAATAAGATGAAACTACTCCTCAAGGATTCATGCTCACCTTCTCCGATCCAGACTGCTCATAGGTGCTCAGAATTGTGGCTACTCTTCACTGGAGTTGTTGCTCACTCGTTACAAATACAACAAGGCTTTTGCTCAAAGTTTTCTCTGTCTCTGATGGATATGTTTTATTGAAGCAGTGAGGAACACCGATGTAAAAGCATCTCAAGAGCTTCATCAATATTTAACTACCATAGCCAGTGATGTTGCCTATCTCATGGCTTTACTTTTGAAAACATTAAAAAGTCACACAACAAAAGAAACACTTTAAAACCTGCTGTAACAGGATGCATGATTCTCCTTTACAGCAACACATAACAGTGAACTTTCTGATTTCCATGCCTATTGTTTTAAACTGCAGGCTGTGGCGTTAAAGGCTTTATTATGGAGTGTGGAAGCTGTGAGTAATTTTACTTTGCAGTCCATGTTGAAATCCTGTATCCTTCATGAACTGCATGAATAATTTAGATTGTGCATATATCAGTGACTTCTCAAGTTTACATGAATTCATTGAGAGTTTATTGCATTTCTAACTCTTTACAGTATGATTACATGAGGCGGCAGCTGTGTGGCAGATGTGTTGTGTGGGAATTCTTATTTTTCAGATTTGCTTTTGCAGCTATTTTAACATTTGAAGATTACAATCTAGACAAACTGTCACCCATACGTATCTAAATATAAATGACACATGAGAATCGGTTTAAAAATGATATTTCAAAGAAAATGGCTGTAAACTGTTTTTACTGGAAAACCAACAGAATGCTTCTTTGCTTTGTGATTCAGTCATTAGTCATTGTGTGCAGCTGGATGAGTGTGTACGTGTGAAAGAAAAAAAACTAGGGTGACAGTGAACTGAGCTTCCAAGACCACGACCTTTATTTTTTCTGTTGTATTTTTCTTTTAAAGAAGAGTCATCGCTCTGCTTAGAAGAGACCAGGGGACAGCTTTGTTGTTAATGACACCGCAACGCATTTCTCGCCAACAACACTGAGCGCTCCTTCCTTTGTGTGAAGTCTTTTTTTCAAAGCACAGTTGCAGATTAGAAGTGTTGATACTGACCCGTGTGATCTTCTCTGTCCCCGTGAAGCTATGTTTCTCAAAGTGATGGGCCAGGTTCAGGAATGTGTGTCTCTCGAGGTACTGGCAGTTACTCAGGATGATCAGTAGACGCTGCTCCTATACACACACACACACACTTGAATGCTTTGACTGCCACAACACAACATTGTCACAGCTTAGGTTCAATTTACAGACTGTAGACCTGGATTTGGATTCTGGATGTTTGGATGTAAAAGTGCATGCAGAAGTGCCTCAAGCCTGTTTCTATTGGCCAGCAGAGGGCGACTCCTCTAGTTGCAAAAAGCAGCCCCAATGCATAGACGTCTCTTGGAAAACAGTCCTCACCTTTCTCGCTCTTTGACCTCAGCAAACACTTTCTGATGAGTTTCGGGTCTCAGTTGCTAGTTTCGAGTCTTACTGAATACAACACGACGTTAATTTTTATAAATTATGGCGTGCTCAAGGACCAGTGAGCAGGGTACACTTTAGGCTGGGACACTAGCATTTGAGCATCATGACATTCACTCCATTCTCCTGATATAAAGTTTAAAACGCTAAACTAGCAACAACTGACTCAAGGGGACATCATTAACCAATGACAGCTGCAATCCACATCATTTATGTTCAAAAGATACACAGTGTATGTGGCGTTCATACCACCATGATGCTCAGGCTGAGCTCTGTAGCCTGTGGTTAAACTTCCTAACCTGAAACCTATGACAACCTTTAATCCTCGTACAATTCTGGAGAGGTTCTTACAACCACAATGTGCTTTCCTTTCCAAAATATGTCCTTGGTTTAAAGTTGTGGTTTCAGTGAAGCTTGGAGCGCTCTTTTTCTCACAATGTCTTTGTGAATATTGTCCAGTGCCTGTGTTTGATGTCTGGTAGAATGGTTGCCTGGCCTAACTGCAAAACAAATCTACCTTAGTGTAGGAACCTGAAACTACTTTTAACAAGCTCTCACTCGTTAAAATGCCCATGCTTTTAATATTCACCCTTACAAACACACAATAAAGCATGCCAATTAAACGTGTGCACAGAGACACTGTCAGAATGACATTCTGATGCCTACAACATCACTGGCAGGAGTTTGCAGTCCAAAATTAAGCAAACCAACCATGCTCCAAAAGCTTAGTGGCCTAAAGTAAACTGATGTCTTTGTGTTAATAGCAGTGACGCACTGTCCAAGTTTGCATGTGCTGGTTGCTAGATTGCCAACTCACAAAAACACCCATTTGTATCATGACTGACACTAGTCTTAACTCTGGTCATCTGCTCTCAGTCAAGTCTGGCAGCATATTCAGGCTGGGGAAACCCCTTCTGCACCTTGCTCCATTTCCCCTTACCAGAAGCACTCTACGCCCTGCCCTTCTTCCTCCTCTTCGTCCTCCCCTGCGCTTAACCCCCTTTGCTAACATCTCAAACAAGTTACAGGAAATAAGGACGTCTCTACTTCTTGTCCACAACCAGGAAACAGACTGATAACATTTCGTGGTTCGAATGAGTGACACATGTTTGTCTAGTTGTGTAAAGGAGGGAGCCCACGCTCTGGTGTGACGCTGGCAGTTGCCACATGTGCGTTTTCGAGTGTTTAAACCTCATACGATTTAAAGAATGTAATAAAGAAAAACACTGTGCTTACAGATGTTGGAGTAAAGCCCTCTTGAATGCCAGTAAACCGATCAGGAGAGGACAGGTCCACTGAAATGTTGCTGTACACATGGGAGAGATTTTAAAATGTTGTCCAAGTGAGGCACAGTAACCACAGAGATGAGAAAAAAATCCTCCAAATACTTACTGAGATGTGTTAATGTCTCCATCTGTCTTAGTACTCAGCTGCTCCAAACTGTTTACAAAGACCTATGGAGACGCATTTATCAGACATGTGAAAAGACAATTTTAGGTGCATCACTAATATCTTACTCTGTGATCAAAACAGGTTAGTACAGACTTAGATCTAAGGTACACTGAAACAGTAAAGTGGACAGTGTGTGCATGTCAACACGTAGGGTTATCTTCACCTCACAGTAAATAAAAGACAAATAAAATCTTAGCAGCTGCTCTATGACTGAACAGATGTAAGACAAATATAGAACACAGAGGTTTTCAGGTCTATATAAGACTTTGGTGATCAGTGCACAGGGCCTCAGGGCAAGAGGCAGGATAGACCCTGGACAGGTCACCAATCTGTCGCAGGGCTAACACAGACAATCATTTGTACACCATGTTCACACCTATGGGCAAATTAAAATCACCAATTAACCTAACCCCACTAAGTGGACATCTCTGCACCATCTGTGGCACCTGAAGAAAAACTCACACAGACACAGGAAGAACATGCAAACTCCACACAGAAAATGAACTGCAGTTCCTCAATGGCCAGTTGAGTCTCCTGTGCTAAAATGGCCAACTTAGAGCATTAAAAGGATATTCTCTTCCTTCTAAACAAGTAGCTGATTTATTTTTTATATTCTATTCATGTGAAGTGCTCAAGAGTTAAATGTTCAAAAGTTAGAGATGTGGCTGCTTTGACTGACAGGAGAGCCAAGACAGTGAGGTGTAGCTTACAGCTGCCTGCTAGGACCCACCTCAACTAATCCAAGTACAGTAGGCCTCAGTCAAACAGGCCCAGAGACTGGTTAGCAACGCCCCTGGCAACCTCTGACTACTAGAGGAAAATGATGTCTTTCCTGACCGTTTGGTGGAGGCTCCTGGTAGTCGCAAAGCGAGAGCTGCCAGGAAGCCTTCTGTGACTGGTAGCTGCCAGATGGTTGCTTTTTTGCTGTTGCTACGTTTTAAAGCATTTTAAAGGAATTGTCTAAAAATATATACCTGCCTTATGATACAGATCATCAAAGGTAAGTTTTAGTAAGTTCATTTATAGAATTTTATTGTTTTTATTTAGCACTAATTATATGTATCTCTTTATTTGCCAACAATGCTTGCTAGGAGTAGCTGACTACACCCGACTCTCATCCAGATTTGGCCACTTCTGTATTTGATAAACAACATAAACACATGAAGGCTGAGGCTTCAAAATGTGGAAATCAAAACCAGTGGTAGACATCATGGTGGCTACTTCCATCCTATGCAAACAGTCTTTGTTCATAATCCTATGCATGTTCTTGAAAATAAGTGTACACGTCTTACCTTCATGATCCTCACGCTGAGCTCTGCAGCCTGGTCCTGGACCTGCTCCAACTGCAACACCTGTGGAAAAGAACGTAACGGTAACGATGCTTTCTTGACGTGACTAAAGCTGTTTATTCTAAAATTCATAAAGGATTTCTTTGTGTTGAACCCTGGATAGTTATTTCATAGTTTCTGTTAACAGCAGGGTTTATACTTTACTACTTCGCGAAGTGTTGAATTAAAACCATCCAAGTTTTGATATCATTTCTGTTTGCAACAGAAGTACCGTGGCTTCAAATAAAAGATCATCACATAAAGCAACTCCACAGAGTGAAATTTCATTCCTATAAGTTTACTGCACTGTGCGACATGCACAAGGGCAGGACAAGAAGAGTGATGAATGTAGCACCCACTGAACCGAGGCCAGGACGCACAGCAGTTATTCCTCCACTACTTGTTCTTCTAACTACATTTTCTTCTTTATTTAATTTTTTCTTTTTGTTTTGTTTTCTACATCAATCTATTTACATCCCTTTTCTTCACAATTCCAACAGGGATCTTAATTTTAAACCCATCTCATTGTGCAACAAAGACTGCTGTCTTCAAAACATGACTAAAGATGATATCAGTATAATTTTTTAACATTGGTCACAGAGACCATGTGGCTAAGCTTGATTTATATTCACCAAAATTTTAATTTTCTTTTTTCATACAAACCCACTTCTATAAAAGTTTGGATGCTGTGTAAAATGTAAATAAATGCAATGACTTGCAAATCTCATAAATCTACATTTTTCACAAAAAGACAGCAAAAACATATCAGATGTTTAACCTGAGACGTTCTACTACTTTATGAAAAACAATTAGTTAGTTTGAATGCAATGGCAGCAACATGCCTCAAAAAAGTTCGGATGGAGAAACGAAAAAATTGAAAAGTTAGTGGTACTTAAAGAAGGAGCTGGAGGAACATTTTGCAACTAATTAGGTTAGCTGGTAAAAATAATAAATGTCTTAGAGAGGCAAAGTTTCACCAATCTGCAAAAACAACTCCAACTACAGAATAGTGTTTGTTACTGTAAAATTATGAAGACTGAATATCTTATCATCTACGCTGCGTGTTATCATTTACAAAAACCAAAAAACACAGAGCGATCTCTGTGTACAAGGGGCAAGTCTGAAAATCAGTACTGGACTCTCGTGCACTTTGGTTTCAGAGGTGGCGCTGCAGTAAAAGCAGGCATGATTCTGTAATGAAAATAACTGCATGGGCTCAGGCACACTTTTAGAAAACAGTTTACAATATCATCGACCAAAAAGAAGAAGCCTGTGTGAAACACTGCCGTCATCTCTGGGACAAAGCTCAGGTCAGACTAATGAAAATTTGAAATTATTTTATTAGAACACTGATGCTGCGTCCTCTCAGCTAAAGAGGAGATGAACCAGTCATATTTAAAAGGTATCCACCTCTGATAGTATGGGTGTGCGTTAAGAGTCAGTTGCACATCTGGAAAGGCACAACAGATTTTATACACAGGTTTTATGCTCTTATCCAGAAGTCTTTTTCTTTCTGTAAGACATGCTGCTGCCATCGAACTCAACATCACCTCAGCGATGCTAAAGTTTGTGACAATGCCAGGAACAGCAGGATTCCCATTCATTCATTCAGAGGGACAATTACTGCAATTGAAAGGAGGCATGCCAGCCCCATAACAGCCTGTGTCTAACAGATGACAAGTAACTGTCACGTGTCAGTGTCAGCTATTTAAGTTCATTTAATGGATGAAGAAACTCATGACTATTGATTATCATGTGAAAACTTCTGTAGCTCTGATGTTTGCAGGGTATGAACGAACATTTGTTTCTCCAGGTTTGATTTCCAGGGGCTCTTTGAGTGACTGCAGCATCTGGACCATACACTGCTCAAACCGTGAAGGCTGCAAAAACATTAAAAACAGAGATTACAAACATGGGCTACATTAGATAACATCACACTTCAACACAGATTAGTTAAAACAGACCCACAAGTACTCAGTGGACTAAACAAATGCAATGAATCGCTGCCAGCTGGAAAGTATACATAGATATTAAACTTTCTGTGATTTCTATAAAGACACAGAGTGCTGCTTGATAAATTAACCAATCCTTACCAGGCTGGTGATTCCCTCATTATCTACCAACCAGTCTTCCTTTTCAGCAAGCCTGTTGACATCTATGGGTATAAAAAGCACAAATCGAAAGGGCCATCACTTGAAACTGTGCTACGGTTTTTTGAACTCAGAGCCGTTTACATGTGGAGTGTGGAGACTTTCATAAGGGGTCGTAAGTAATGGAAATATGAACAGATTTAAAGGTTTCTGAGGGAAAACCACATGATATAAAATCAAACCCTTTCTTCCCAGACCACAATTTGGTGTGTGCGTGTGGTGTGTTTGTGTGTGTGAGAATGTGCGTGTGAGTGGGGGGAGTTAAGAAAAAAAAACAGTCACTCTTCTCAAAATGACCATACCTAACCACAAGTGAAACACAGCCTGTCTGGTTTTAGTCTCATAACACTTTCTCCATTACTAACCTGGAAGTTGAATTAGCTAAAAGTGACACTTGAGGACACTGACCACTAAGAGCTTATTAACAAATTCACATGGTTTTATAAAAATCTGTCGTGTTCTGCAGGTTTTGAGTTCATGTCCTTTCGCATTCTTGTCTAGCAGGGGATTACACAAGTAACGGATGATAATCAAAGTGTGATTTCAGAATGACACAGCTTTTTATTTCTCATGTGGAGATTAATAACGTGTCTATGGTGACAACTTTTTTTTATTCTACTGGTAAAGATTCCCAATGCTGTTTTGCTTAAACCAACAAATACATTATTTGCAAGGGTAAGCAGGGCCTGGCATATTTTGCCCCATGTATCTGGTACAAGCAGGCATACTTTCCAGTAAACGTCTTCTTAACACACTCGGTCAACACATTTAAAAGCCTTTCAATGTACAATAACAAATTAGGTACAAATACATACATGAATAAATACTATACATATCTTTATTTTAAAAACCCAGAAAAACAAGGTAAAATGTAGACACTAGAAATAAAGATTTTAAGGATGTTATGAGCCCCTCCAGAGTGAGTGTTTCATGTTTCACTGTACATCAGCACACTAGCAGATGCCAAGCTTCGCCTCAAATATCATACCGATCTTGTTAAACTTTGACAAAACCTTGGTTTCTTGCATGTTAACTTTCTTGCATGTTAGCTTCTCTAGAATCCGCAAAGAGAAGAAGCAGTTTTCCTCTCAGTCTAGGACTAGAGTGATTTACAGGCGTCTATCTGGCTGTAATCTAAAGCAACTGGATGTCGTTTACCTACCTACCTCCAGGTTTATTACTGGTGCTAATTTTAGTTCTCAATACTTCATATAATATGAAATTGTTAGATGTTTTTTGCTGCCTGAAAAATGTGATATTTTGGATAACTGGATGAGAAGGCTCTCATTAGGAAGCCATTGTACATTATTTATGTACTAGATGGGTGTTCAGGACAATAATGGGCTCAGTCACATGAAGATTGCATTGACACAGCAAAAGCTGCTTTTAGTTTTTATGATCCTGCCACACTGAAGACTGAAAACAAAATAAACTGTTTGGTAACTTGGAGTCAATTAAAATGAAGATCTTGATGAAAATATTTTGTCCATTACTGAGAGCTCTCTCACCTTCTGTTGTGTGCACCAGAGTCACCATGAGACAGTGAACTCTCAAATCCAGCAGAAGATCCTGGATCACCTGCAGCAAATCATTTGGGATCTCCATAGCAGACAGAGCCTCATGACAACCCCTGGATGAGAAACGCCAGAGAACAGAGGTCTGTTATTAAAGGCAAGGTAAGCATGCGGCTCCCAAATGCCTCCATTTAACCAAACATGTAAGCAAATTAATTACAACCAAAGTGTGAGGACCTGACAGTGTGTATGATTTGTGTAAGCCATGATCCAGCCAACTCTGTCTTGCTCTCCCAGCCTCCATAAAGACTCAGCTCCCCTTGCGGCAAGGTGGCGGGTAAGAGAGCACCCCGAATGAGCTTCACGAGCCGACTGGTCAGCTCTTCAATCATTTTCTACAAAACAGACAACATACAGTATGTACTGCAGAATGTGTCTTTAAAAAACATTATCTCAAATTAACATTAGAGTAAACTGGAGTTAGAAATCCTCATACTTTAAAGTCATTCTGTCTCTGTCTGGCATTCTTCTTGGATTTTTCCACTTGCCCAGATTTCTCTCCAGTCTGTAGGGGAAGACACAAATACTTAGTCACCTCTGAGAAGTCCAGATTACTGACGAAAAATAGATTTTATGTTGCTTTCTGTGCCTGCATTAGAGCAAACTATGATAATGCAAATGACATTCCTTCAACTTTTCTTGAGAATAATCAAATAATTTCTCTTAAATGGAAACCCTGAAAAACACAGATATGGAATGTAAACCTGCAGAGGATTTCGAAGAAACTGAGGTTCTAAAAAAAGCTTTTATTAGCCTAGCCTAAAGTTTTCATGGGAAATATTCTTGTTCACGGAGGCATTTGTGTATTACTAAGAACACCATTTGTTTTGGCCTATCAGTAGAAACTCATTAACCTGAGTTGACTCATGGAAAATCATTCCCCTTCTCTTAATCCCAAATTAAATACCTAACTCACCAAAGGAATTTCATGAGATAATCCTCAATGAATATGAGTGAAACAAAGCTGAACTATTGAGCTAAATTTATAGCAATTTATTTATTATACCAGTTTTTATTGTCATTTATTTCAATTGTTGTATTGATTATGTGACAAAACTAATGTCCCTTTCATTCTTTTGCAGATGTTGTCCATAATGTGGTGTTAGCACGCGCATCGATCTACTGGTTAAAGATTTTCGACAGGGCACGGTCCCTTGATGGCACTCCTTTCCACACAATTTCAACAAAAACACAATTTTATTTTTGCTTTCACTACACTTTAACCACACTTTTGAAGATTATAATTTGTGCATTATAAAGCAGCTGGTTGTGTGATGTGTGAAATCAAAATGCAGCACGCCATGGAGAGGTTTGTGGTGCTGTGACTTTCCCACTATTTACACAAAGCTTTTTACCACCATCTCAGCCTTGCCCCTCTGACTTGAGATATTCTGACTCACTTCTAATCTTGACCCTCCAAATGACAATCACTGCCTTGAACCCCTATATTTACAAAAATAATGGAAATGACCACAAACAAAGATTTACATTTTTGGGCTACAGCTCCACAGGGCCACGTTCATCTCTGGATTATCTTGTGTGGCAAAGTGACCACTGTTGCTATAAAAACATGCTGTATGCAGGATTTCTGTCTACTTGGTGAGTATTCACCTCGCTAAAAAGACTTCCATTAACGTAGGAGATCCAAAGCTTCCAGAAATTGGGCAGCTGACCGATCACAACATCTGAAAGCTTCTCCACAAACTGCACCTGCTGCGGGGTCTCAAAGTGCCAATCTAGAAAAAAAGGACACACAGATGACATGATAGAGGATATTGGCATAATGACTGTGCAGTTCCAATATTCACATATCAGAATGGTTTAATTCCTGGCACATAAAGCTTAAGATCTTTGTTTTTTTTATTTGTGCCTTTACCGTACAGTGTGATGCAAGATTCCCCTAAACACTGTACACGACCAAAAGTGTTACACACACACACAAACAAACAAACGTACGTGTGTACAGAGTTTAGCGCAGACAGGGAAGCCCCCCTTAGAACTCAGTGTGTGGGCGAATCTGTGAAGTGTTGCACTACTCACTGCTGGATCGTGGCGTTCGGAGACTGCCCCCTCTCTTCAGAGACGCGGTGTGGCTGAGCCTTCCGAGGGCTGGTGGACGGGTATCCCCCTCTGGGTCCAGAGCTCCCGCACCCACTGAGAGACATAACGAAAGTGGGGAGGGATGAGAAATGAGCTTGAAGGGAAAAGAAACACATACTCCACATATTAAATAATCACATTTTCATAATTCCACATTCCTCAATAAGCTTAACGGGCTTTCACACAAAACAATCCCTCCCTACTTTCTTTATTTGTGTTCTGATCCATCTCAGCGGAGAGAATGTCCCCTTGTTTTCACGGTGGGGAAACGGAGCAGTGGTCTTTGCGAGTGCTGGGGTGAAGTGGGTTTACGCTGGCCACAATGTGCTCTGTCACATCTGATTCTTAAGAGCTCCTCTAGATGGCAACAGGGAGCTATGCAGCGGTAATGAATGAGAAAGTTCTGCAACCACACACTCCTATCGCTGCATGTGAGACAACGTTAGCAAATTGAATCTGTGAGATAACTTAATGATAACAGAACAAGGGGTGGCAAAAAGGAATGAAAGTGAAAGACTGCGGTGCTAAGAAGATCAAAATTGCTACAATGAAAATGAAACTTTAAGGACAGGTTCGTGCAACGCTGCACTACGCCCACACCAGTTTGTCTAAATCAATGGAGACTGATGAGCCACATTTCCAAAACATGTGTCTCTCACACACTCACATACACAGAAAAGCGTACTGGTGAGTCACAATGTTGAATGTAGTGTATAAGCAAGAATTGAGAAATCCCCAAGCAGAGGAGAAAATTGTGGTTGAGGTGGCTGTGCACACAACACACCCATCCAGGCCAGAAAATGTAAGGAAATTCTCATTTGAGTCAGACTATCTGTAAACAGACGAGGCTTTCTTATATCGCAAATACACACAGACAGACACACGCGCACACACACACACACACACACCATATGGTGCAATACAGGCTCTGTCTCTCTGAAGTTTTCCTGTCTTTTTACAGGGATGAGAGCTGCTGTTGACCCAGGTGGCCGCCGAATCCTCAGAATGGACAAGCACTTGCATTCTGAGGACTGCATGTGTTTTGCTGCTCTGTACGTTGAAAGGATTTACTATGCTGCTGCACTGCTTCTTGCTCAAATTTACAGGGGGAAACTATAGAAGCCTCTGTGTATGCGTGTTGAATAAACTGAGACAATGTGTGTCATCTATACACACTTCCTCATCGTGTCTGGGGCTTCTCTGCAGGCTGGATGGGTTCCTCTTCCAGAGGGGTCACTGACCTTGACCACACGCACACATACCTGCTTTCTGTCTAAGAGGACACAAACCTTATTCCCACGCTACAGAATACAAAAGCTTCACCACACTTCTCTTGAAAAACGCCCCAGTGTTTCACCCAGATTTTATGTGCGCACAGACAACGGGACATCTTGTCAGGAAAAGTAAAGATGGGACTTACAATAAAATCACTATTATTAATAATCTGTGACTTAAAGTTTTGAAATTCCAGGCTTTATGTACATCACAAAATTTCTGAATACAAGTAAAAAAGTTCCCTAATGAATCAATCAGTCAATACGACCACGCAAACACCTGTCAGACGTTAACCAGTATTATCACGGCATTGCTCTTACAGCAGCATTTCTGCAGCATAAAATCCCAAACACACCATCAGAGTGTCTGAACAGTGAATTCCCACTAACTACTCACTGAAAACCTATTTTTCCAGAGGGAAAAAAAACTCCTGTTAATTGTGTTGACATTGGCAGAAGAAGTGCCGCTCGAGAAATAAAAATACTGCAGCTTCTAATTGGATCGGGCAGAGTCAGATTGCAACACTGGGGCACGATGGGAGTGTTTAGACATACGGAAGCAACTTGCTATGCTCCCTCACAAAAAAACTTCAGCTTTCAGGCCTTTGTTTCTAACAAAGATGGATGGTTTTATTTTACATTTAAGGCATTTTATAGGGTAATTAATGGAATCGTGACTACACCAGAACGACCTCTGGCCTTTTATTCCTGACTAGGAACAACAGTTGAAAGAGAAAATGACACCAGTTACTGCAAATATGCCTGATGCTTACAGCGGAATAATCTCTGCCATGTGTGATGCTGACAATAGCATAAAAAAAGCTAGTGAATGCATCTATATGAAGGGAAGAGGAGGCCACCAGAAGAGTGGGTAGCTGTGAGGTACCATTGAGGGGGGGGGGGGGTCCTATACAGAAGGAAGGGTAAGGGTGGGAAGGAAGGAGAGGAAGAGTGAAGCTGGGGGAATGCAGTGGATGTGGTTTTTATAATGATGGCTGCTGAAGCATTGCCTGGGTGGAGGCACGGGTTTCACACTTGGGCCAGAAGTGAGCAGAGGAGACCAGAGATGCTGAATATCTGCCAGAGGTGTATGTGAGGGGAAGAGGCGCGCTGTGTGACAACAGAGAAGACAGGAGACAGCTGTAACAAAGAACAAGAGCAGGGAGAAAAACAGGAAAGATTGCGTGTACCTTTCAGCATGTCTGTGTGAACACTGTGCTCACCAGAAGAATGACAGCATGGGTAATTTGTTTAAACACAACGGAGTGTTTTTTCACAGTAGTGGTGCTCTTGGCTTTCCACTTGTTTGGACCGTGTGCTTTGCTGGCACCCTAACCAAGCCTCAATATATCCCCGGGCTTGTAAGGTGTTAGGCATTCAGCAGCCACAGTCTGGATTGCAGGTGATACTGTGACCAAATGAACCCCCACCTTATCAAAGGTTGTTACACTGGGTGTCAGTGGGATTTCAAAATCTTCAATATAAATCTGTTCCCCAAAAAATACAAACCCTAACTGATCGCACACAAGTGCTGCCTGTCATTTCACTGATTCCATTTGCAGTGGACTCGGAACAAGCAGACATGCAAGTCTTTTCTAGGCAACGTAAAAACGGATTTAAAGAATGCAGGTTGGACAAAAAGTTGGGTTTGCAGGAGGCTCTCAACCAACTCTCAACAGAACTGTGCACATCTATGAGAAGACTGCACAGTTAAATGTAGGTCATTTTGGTCACATGCTGACTGTAACTACTGTCCTCTCAGAGGCAGACGGGTATCTTAAATGATGTTACCTCAAGAACAGACATCACTCTCAAAGTTCGGCTCCAAAAATGCAGTTCCTGGAATCACCACTTGAGGCTGGTTCAATAAGCAAGCCGTCCTACAGACCTCAATATTAAAAGGCCCAACTTCACTAACATCACTAAGAAGCTTGTTTACAATCTGGTTTTTAAAAATTGACACTGACACACTGACAATTGATGTGATGCTTTGAGGTATGAGGACTTTATCAATAAGTTAACATGTCCATGCCAGCATGTGTGTTTCTGTGCTCTTTTTTGTTTTTTGCAAACTAGCAATTTTCTGCACAGTTGGGTTGGATGAGATTTCAGACTCCCTCTCCACCACATGTTGCTCTGCAGTGGAATGTAAGTGTGAAGTAAAAGGGGCCATCCCTGACATAATCATCAAGATGAAATTTAAATGTGGAGAAGTGGGGAACGAACCAATCCCCAGATCCATCAAGCCTGAGCCCCGGAAACCACTGTTACTTTTAGCATTAGACATGTTTATGTTCCAGCTGTGCTATGTGAAGCAGCCACCCACCCCACAATGGATTTGTGCGGGTGCCTCAGTGTGAGTGTGCACGCATGCTGGCGAATCACTGGTCTTCCTGAGTGGACGGTTTCAGATCCACATTTTTCTGCTGGCTGATTTAACAGAGGAACAGCTTAATTGGGGTTAATTGTTCCAATCCATCTGTGAAGCTGTGTGTGTGAGTGAGAAAGCGGGTTTGTGTGTGTGCAGTAACATGTCAAGCGCTGAAACCTAAATCCAAAGCCAGTGCTCCATCACTTTCATCTTATTCATACATTCATGAAAAAATAAACACACAGGCCTCAAGCAAGCAGCACAGACTGGGGTAAAGGAGGCCGGCGAAGGAGCAGGGAATTTAGGCAGAGCTCTGGAACGACTGAGACACTGCTCTCTTCCCTCAGTTCACGACATCCACCGGCTGCCTGATTGGAAATGCTAAATAGGGGCTTTTCACTACATGTGCAAAACGAATCAACTCAGACAAATGTGCATTTTTAGTCACCTCTCTGGCCACTGATGAACTCATCTCTGCAGTTCTGCATCAGCTGCAGGATCCACTTGTGCTGAGCGTAGATGCACTGCCATGCTGGATCTCCTGGAGCGTGTAGGTCAGACAGGTACCTACGAAAGCGTGGGACAGGGAGATGGAAGATGAGATGGGACAAAAAGATCAACAAAATTAAAATCCACACTTAAATGGGTGACAAATCAAAGGTCAGACAATAAAGAGTGGCCAAAAACAATAAAAGCTCTGGCTGAAGTCGGGGCAGGACAGCCCACTAATGTCAGCCTAAAATCCCCATTAGGTTTTACTGCACTTTGTCTTTTTGCATAAAGCGTAGAGGACGGCTAATTCAAATCACAATTCTTTAAAAAAAAAAAAAAATTCCACCACAAACTCCTCACCAAGCAGGAAGAAAGGGAAAGTTGCATTTAAATGAAACGCTGTTTGAAGCACTAAGCATAAGATATGACTGTCACATTATCTGTTTTTTACTTCTCGACTATCAGAATAAAAAAAAAATTCACAATGACGCCATCATGACATTTATAAAAAA